GTAAAAAAAAAAAAATAAGGGGCTCGGTAAAACAATAAGAGGCATCTTGTCATCATCAAGAAGGCTAAATTCTAGCGACATGACATGCTTTCGGGCAGGCAAGCGAACCAAGCACTAGTTGGACTGCCAAGATGGACCTTCCATGCCAAAAGCGTTCACATACTGGCCAGCAGCAGCCAACAGGTCAACGACGCTGGTTACGCTGCTGCTCAGGGCAGCGCCGCCGCCGGAAGCTCACTGCGCCCGTACCACAAAGTACTCTGTGCGAAAAGGCAGTGTGGAGTGGACAGCGGCCAGCGGCCAGCTCACACAAAGACTCCCACACCCCAGAGTCCAGGCCACGCACGAGCTGAGCACCCTGAGCTTGAGCACCCCGACTTGCCTCCGAGTATACTGAGCCTGAACACCTGAACACCCTGAGGCCCGAGCTGCTCAGCATCATCCCCCGTTCCCCGCTCCATCATGTCGTCAGAACGATCACGCTCCGCTGTCCATGTCATCACAATCACAGAAATGCCCAGAATGGTGAGGTGCAGGCTGTGGTGATCTTGTTTGAATCCAGGCATCACAGCCGGCGTCTCCCCTCCCCCTATTTGACCATTAAATGGGCCGCGCAAGCCGCAACCCCCGCCAGCCCCAGGCCGAGACCTGTGGTGGCTGCACGAGGAAGTAGGCCGTCCCGATGTGGCACCGTTTTGAACTGTGGCTGGTGACGTCGCTGGGGGGCGCATCGCTCCGCTTTCACGACTGGCGTTCTCCTTTTCACCGTCAACCCCTGCGCCCTGCCCTATGCCCCCCCCCCGGTCATGTTGGAGGCTGGACTCGGACTTCGGTCTTGGAGTCGTATTGTCTGTCCCCATTCCCGGACCAATTGCTCCAGTGCAATCTCCAGGCCGCCATCGCATTGTTGTTCTTTCGTCTGATCCGTCCCACCTCCCATCCGTCCTGGGCTTTTGTGAGGCGCCTCTGTGCCATAGCTTCAGGTGCCCCCTTTTCCTGGATGCTTCGCTCTGTGCCAGGACGCCTATTCTAAACTTGAGCTTGGCTCGATGCTTGACTGTTGTCGTTGAACGGTCGAATACCACCTCACCACGCTGACACCGGCTCGCGAGTCAGTCCCAGCCCTGCGAGCAACGTCGAGAGAAGCTCACCCAAGCCCAATACCACAGCCTGTTATGATCACTTTCCCTTCCCGCCCCCCATGACCCGACCCCTGGTGCAACACCAGATCGAATCGCACAGGTCTCCTGTCCCCGCCCGAGGCGATAAGGAGCAGACACGGTAACATCCCGTCCCAGCTCCAGGCTCCCCCCCTGTGCCCACCCGCTGTCAAGCCCCCTTCAGGTGCTCCCCCAAATTCGCAAAGTGCAAGAAAAACCTGTTTTTTTTGTCTGCCCACCCCCGATGTGATCGAATGCGGCTCCCGACGACGACTGCGTAACCTCGCCCCAGAGTTCCAGACCTGCCTGCCGGGGACGAGGGCTCTACCAGTGGGTACTCTGACCGTGAGGTAACCGCTGGCGATCACCATTCACAGCAGTGCAGCAGTCCCCTTCGTCACGGCGATTGGGCTCACAGGAGAATGCCAACGGATTGGGCAGATTCTCTCTCTCTCTCTCTCTCTCTCTCTCTGGTCTCTCTCTCTCTCTCTCTCTCTCTCTCTCTCTCACACCGA